ATTTAAAAGTTCTGATAGTTTCTTACTGGTTTTGCAGATGAGTTTGATGTTATTTTCCATACTGAAATTCCATCCATGCCTACCAAAGTACACTGGTTTTGTGTTACAGATGATTCACCTCCTGCAGAACGGGAACCAGGTGAAGTTGTGGACAGCCTGGTAGGCAAACAAGTGGAATATGCCAAAGAAGATGGCTCAAAACGGACTGGCATGGTCATTCATCAAGTTGAAGCCAAACCATCTGTCTATTTCATCAAGTTTGATGATGATTTCCATATTTATGTCTACGATTTGGTGAAGACATCCTAGACATCATTGTGAACTCTGCCAAATTTGTGGAACTATTAAATGTAAAATTTGTAGACACAAAGACTTGACTGCTTTCCAGTTTAATGAAAGCTTAAATGTCCCTGCGAACCCACAATCTCTGCCAGCAAAACTGTTTTGTTCTGAATAATAGGAAAAAAATTATGTGAACATGACACATTTTGTGTAAAAGAACTCCTTTTCTTGGAGGAAGTCAGTATATCTCAGCAGGAGGGAGTTAAGAGGAAAAAACAGCTGCAAATTCAGGCTGTGTAAAGTTGATCTAGTATTGTAGTCCTTAATCTAAATTTTTTCATAGATTTTAACAGTCTTCAACTTTGCACTCACCTCATGCAAGTGTAGTTTGATATTTTGATATACCTTCTTTTATAACATTAAATTTAATTTCTTGGCTACTGGCAGTCCTTGTTTTCAGGGTTGGGACAGAATTGATGTTACTGAAAGGTTTGAATGATTTGTGCTGCACTAAGGAGTGCCTAACCCAAGTAACACCAGTCTGCTGTGTTTCTACACTTTATTTTAAATATAGCTTCTTAAGAATTTGCAGTACATGGAAATACTTGTGCATTTTTTAGTAGTCACATGGCTGTAGAATATCAAGTGTTTGACTTATGCACCTTTCAGTGAAAAGTCTTAAAACTATAAAAATATATTTAATCAGTATAACCAGTTAACTAGAAAATGCAAGGTTAATAGCCTGTATTTACAAGTTGTAGGAACCAGTAAAATACAAGCAACAAGGCTGCCTTCAGTCCTAAATGTTGTACTTCTTTATTTGTTTATTACACTCTATTAGCAAAACACAAGTGCTTGGTGCCACAAGTTTACCAGTATATATGTATGCTACTTCAGAAGACTTTAGACTACGCATTGGCAATCAGTAGTCTCTCATCTAATACCAAAATCTAGCAACCTGAATGTGTGGATTAGATGCCTAACAATGGTTGTATTTTATGTGGTAAATACAGTCTCAAAGGGGGGTGGAGGGTACAGGAATCATTTTTTATTGAAGACTTAATTGTAGAGAAGGAAGGGCATTTGTTGCCTTCTGCTCAGTCTGTTGCATTCTGTTGTTTGCTTGATTTTGTTGTTGTTGTTTTGTTTTCTTCTTCTTCTTTTTTTTTTTTTTTTTTTTTTTTTTTTTGTTTGTTTCTAACCATTTTTGATTCAAAAAGGCACCTTCCCAACTTAATCTTTCTCTGGCTTTTCTACATTAGGAGTATCCAGACAAATCCACAGCTTAAATCTGTTGTTGCCCTTTGTGGTGTAGATTGTACTTACTTTGAGATATGCTGTTACTTGAATTTCATTCTGTGAACACTACAGTTCTGCATGCCAGTGGTGTGCCGTCTCATGGAAGCTACAGGCAGTCTCAGTGGTTCAGCCGTCTGCATTAGATTGTGGAAGTACCTAGCAGCCCACAGCAGCAAAATCCTTTCACAGTTGTAACCTTGCAGGATAGTCGCAAATGAAGATTAGGGTTGTCGGTGGGGTGTTTTTGTTTTTTTGTTTGTTTGTTTGGGGTTTTTTTTTATTTGTTTTATTTTTTTTGTTCTTGTAACTGTGGCAGCTTTTGAAAGCATAAGAATGGCAACAACGATCAGCACAGCAACAAAATTGTCATGTTACACAAAGGCGGAGCTCTGCAAGTTTCAAAGAACTGCTTCATGAAAGTGCAGTTTTGTGAAGACAGCGCTGTTGATGGAACATGCACTCTGAAATCCACCCTTATGCCATTAGTGGAAGGATGCAGGAGATATGTTGTTAATCAGAGATCAGAAGTCTGTGTGATCTCAGATTGGGTATACCGAAGACTCGGTGGTTTAAGCCCCTTTCTGTCCATTTTTTTGCTTGATTTCATATTTTAGCCTTAAGGCTTGTGCCTCATTATACTGTTGAATTGTAATAAATACTCACCATATAAATATGATACCTTAATTCTTTGTCCATTGCATTATATTGCATTATGTCCGGTTATTTCATCATGGGCAACCAAAGGCAGGCTATTGTCTTATAGTGAATAGCTTCTCAATGCAGTCCTTAAGCACTAGGTACCTGAGTAAATGTTCCTTGTATTTTGAACAAAGTGAGCAGATTTGCAACACAATGTTTTCATCCTGCAGATCTGTTATATGTGTTTTCTATTGACTCTTAAGAGTCCTGCATGTAAATCTCAAAGCTGAGCCTGGCTCCATGAGCCCAAGTTGATATTTCTGGCACAAGAATGAGTGAGTGTATTGATGACACACAAGACACATGAATAACTTAGTACACTGATTTGGGGGCTATAGGTCTGAGGAATGTGTTGTTTTGAAAGATCTGAGGTTTAGATCTACCAGAACACTTTTAGCATTAGGCTTGCATTTGTGGGTTGTCTGCAAGCCACTTTAATACACCACATATTCTGCCAATTAGAGTATAATCTATAAACTGTAAATTTTATGGTTGTTTTTAGATGTCCCCATTGGCTATTGTATGGGTATTTCTTTTCATTTTTTTCTTCTTTCCTTTTTCTTTCTTTTCTTTTTTTTTTCAGTAGCTTAAACCACCTTTTTGAGACTTGAGACTAATTCCACACCCTGCCCATCTTCTCTGGGCTTTGTTTTAGGCTCATGTTTCAGATCTGCATGCAGTGCTTGCGTTACCCTGGTAACTGAATGTTGGTTCCTTGTTCTAGGGGTTCAACATTACTTTCCAAAATTACGTAGGGCCTGTGATGGCACAGGCCGTGGATCTTTGTATAAAAGTTATTGGCCTTTCACATTTACCTGCTGTAGTACTGTTGTATATTGTGTGTGTGTGCGTGTGTGATGTCAGGCTGCCATGTAAAACTTTTTAAAAGGAAAAAAAGTTAAATGCAGACCATCATTTTTTGCATGCTTAGAGGGTTAGAATGTTCAATGTAACAAACTAAAGATGCATGTTAAAAATGTTTAGGTTTTGGTTTTGTTCTGTTTTTATTTTGTGTTCAGTTTTTGTGAGTTTGCTTATTGTGCTGTTTTAATGGTTGTTAGTAGGATTAAATGCACCGGTGAGACAAGCATAGTGCCAACAGAAGGTAATTTTTCCAGTTGTATGTGTCATACAGCATTTAAAGGGACCGTGTATTCTGTTAACAAATAAATAAAGTCACACCGAATCAGTAAAACACTGCTTTTTTTTTTTTTGAGTGCCAAACCCTAAACTAAGTTGGAACGAAGCATAGGAAAACCCCTTTTTATTGAAACAGGTAGATAATTTAATTTTAAAAAAGCATTAAAAATGAAGTCTTTGTCTTCAGAAAATTAACTAATTGCTTATGGGAAAAGAATGACAGTAAAAACAGTTTCTGGTTCCTTGAAAATGCTGTGTTTTTTGTATTTTACATCATTAGTGCAATTTGGATGGTTCTTGGTATGTGTATAGTTCAAAGGTCTTCGTGTTCACATTTTAAAATTAGGTAATGACTTCATCTTTAGAGCTTGGTTTCATTATTTTTATTTTATTTTGAACAATGTAGACAGTTCTCTGTTCTCTGCATTTAGAAGTATAAACACTTTAAATCTGTTACTTAATTCTGTAAGTAATTTTTATAATTATGATGTAACTCTATCCTTAAAACATTTAAAATAAACCCTTTATGTGCAACATATGACTGTAAACTCTGTTCTCATGAACAAAATGTAGCGATGTGTTCTCAGATTGTGAGTGAAAAAGTAGTTTTTTAAAGTTTTCTAATCAATACTGAGCAATGTATGCTGATATGTGGATGCATGCTTCAAATCAAACTGATCCATCTAAACAGTTACAAAAACACACATAGAAATAATACTGCAGTGCTATTTCTGCTCAATTTTTTAAGTGATTCCTTCTCTTGTTCTCTCAAGACAAAAGGTGAGAGTAACTAACCAAGCCAAGGGAAGAAAACACTTCAAAGAGACCTCAGAAGGAAGGGGTGAGGGGCCTGTCCTCAGTTTCTTCCTGTAACAGATAAATCTGAACATTTACCCTGCACATAGCAGGGGGGTTGAAACTTGATGATCACTGTGATCCTTTTCAACCCAAGCCATTCTATGATTCTATGATTTGACTTCTGATATTGCAGTTCTCACAGCTGATGGCAGATGTTTAGGAGACATTTGTCTAAGTCCTTCACTGAGGACTTTGTTGTCAAACTACACACATTATGATTAGTATTGGTTTTTGGTACTTCAAGTCACGATGTACATTGATCACAACTCTTGTCTTTTCCCAGAATAGAATAGATTTTTGAGGCTCTGCAGCTGAAAAAAGTAGGACCAGCAACTGTAAAGACCAGTTTTAATGTTTTCTGTGGTAGTAGCTCCATAATTTGAGCCCAAAGTATCCAAAAGAAATAGCAGTTGTATTGGTCAGTCTTGGTTTAAGATATATTCTCTTCCAACAGGACGCGGTGCAATTACTGAATATGACACAATGTGCCAGGTGCGGTTATCACCCCCAACCATGTCCCTTTAATCAAACTTTAGAAGCTTTCTAAAGCTGACGGGGATGCGACTTCCGCCCAGGTGAGAGCGAAATGTTACCTTCACCTCTCGGGGACGACTCCCACCGCCCTGCGGGCACAGCCACTGCCCTCCGTCACCCAGCTCGCCTCGAGGCCGTCACCCCTCAGCACGGACGGGGCTGGGGCGCGGCCACGCCCTCCTGCCGCGGCCATTGGCCAGCTCTGCTGCCTGTCGGGGCGGGGTGGGTGTAGAGCTTGAGCGCAGACGTAAGGGATGAAGTTCGTGTAGTGTCGCTGATGGTGACGGCAAAGGCGGGGGGGCGGAGGTTGCATGTGTGTCGAGATGCTTCTCCAGACGGCGTGAGTGCCCAAGCCCAGTGCCGCACCTTGCTCCACGGTGTCCCCCCCAGAGGCAGCATGGTGGACGTGTTCAGCGGGCGGCTGCTGGTCAGCAAAGACGGCCGCAGCGTGGACCCCGAGGAGGCACTGCAGAACAAGGTGGTAGGCCTCTACTTCTCGGCCGGCTGGTGCTCGCCCTGTCGCGACTTCACCCCCGTGCTCTGCGACTTCTATACCGAGCTGCTGGAGGAGAGCCAGCCGCCCGCGCCATTCGAGGTCGTCTTCATCTCCTCTGACCACAGTGCCGAGGAAATGCTGGGCTACATGCACTCCATGCACGGCGACTGGCTGGCTCTGCCCTTCCACGACCCCTACAAGCAGTGAGTACCGGGGGGGCCGGCTCGCATCCCCCTCTCCGGCATAAGGACTTTCCCGTACCTCTGCCTGATCCCTGTGCAGCCCTGATTGGTGCTTCCCTGTCCTGCGGGATTTTGGCCGCATCAGCCCTCTGCTGCTTTCATCGTCCTGTCCTCTGGGCAGGGCTGCTGCTGGCTCTCTATCTAGGCTTTTCCAGCACAGCGGTAGTTCTGGGTTGCCCGATTTGGCAGCGCTCTGGAAAGAAATAAGAGTGAAGGAGTAGCAAAACTCGTTGCTGACGAACTGAAGGGAGAGCAACCTGTTGCCATAGTTTTGGCTGGGATGGAGTTAATTTTCTTCATAGAGGCTTGCTTGATAATGTACTTCGGATTTTTGATGAAAACGGTGGTAGGACACAGATGTTTTAAGTTGTTACAGGGCAGTGCTTATGCGAAGTCAATGACCTTTCTACTTCTGCTGCCCTGACAGCAGGAGTGCACAAGGAGCCGGGAGGGGACACAGCCAGGGGGGCTGACCCGTGATAGCCAAATGGGTTTCACATACCACGTGTGTGGTAGTAAAAGCTGGGATGAGGTAAGGAGGCAGGGGCATTCAGAGTGACGGTGTTTGCCTTCCCAGGAAGCAGTTACTTGTAATGACCCTGTTCTCCTGCCTGCTGATGAGATGCAGCAGATGAATTCCTTGTCTTGCTTTGCTGGTGTGCATGGCTTTTGCTTTCCCTAGAAAGCTGTCTTTATCTCAACCTATGAGTTCCTGTATGTTTATCTTTATGATTCTCTGCCCCACCCCACCAGCGGATAGTGAGCAAGTGGCTCTGTGCTGCTGAGCTGCCCGCAGGGTTAAGGCATGTTTATAAACAATTTGAGATACGCAGCTTGGTAAAAAAACAAATTCAGCTGATAAAAAGAGACAAAAAATTCCTGTGGTAATATATTTTTAAATGGACATTACTGTAGGCAGTTTGCTCAGCAGAACAACAAAAGGAGGAGATATGAGCATGTTTGAAGAGTAGGGTGAGGGACAAAACAAGGACTGTTATGATGACAAAAATTAAAGATATATATGCATTTTGACTACCCAGAAACATGATTTAGTTCCTCAGAAGAATTCTAGATTAAGGGGGCACACAGAAGGTACTGGAGAAGAGGGGGGAGGGCGCTGAAATTTCTGTAGGCTGAAAATGTTTCCTTAGCTTTGGATTAGGTAAAGCAGTAGATTTAGTTTATCCATGTAAAGTTATATATAAAAAATGTATTAAATAATGAAAGTAAAGGTACAGGTGGTCCATATGTTGTCTTATAAGAACAGCGATGTTTCAGTCAGTGAAGTCAGGAAATGAGTTGCTTGTTTGGTGTACCTTGACAACCACAAGAGTGAACAACCTGATCCCAGGAATTATGTCATCCTTCCTTGGATCATTCCTGGATGTCACCTAGTGCTATAAAGAAACCACTTAATGTTATATCTTTATTTTTTTAATGGCAATTTCCATGAACTCAGAAATAGATTTAAAAATACTTTTTCATAGCTCTCCAAATGCTTCCCAGGCAGTAATTGTATTCAGTAACTGCTAACACTAGTAGAATTTGGGCCAACTTCCTGAAGAAAATGTAATACCTGAAGTCACTTCATCCAGCATAGGTCACTGGAATGTGCTTACAGCTTCGGACTTAGTGGATTAGGGTTCTATTTCGAACTGTGCTATGACGTGCCCAAGTCATGTGGAATGGAAGTATGGAGGCAACCTAATCAGCTTTTCAGACTCTAGTGACCTTCAGATACCTGTAGTGAAATACGGTTTGTGCAGTCAGGGGTCAAAATGTATAATGGAAGAACAAAGTATGGGGAAATAGGAAAATAAAATGATTTTGAAGCTGTTCCTTGTTTACAATAAAGAGTTGTGTGAAAATGCTTAAGAAGCTTAGGTTGAATTAGCTGGCAATTCGGTTTCAGAGATATTTATGAATCACTGTAAACATTTTACAAGTGCATCCAACTTGTCCAGACGTAGTTCTGGCCATTTATTTCAGTTTTAAGTAAGAACACAGTTTTAAATTATATCAAGTTGGTATTTTAACATTTTGTGTATTTATTAATCTTTATTCATTAACCTTTTAAAAATTCCATTGTAAGTCATTCAAGTTGATTTCCTTCGTGCTTTCTCTCAAAGTCTACAGTGAAGTTAGTGTTCTAGCTGGTGACTTCTGTGTGTAAATCTGCAACTTAGACTAGTGTCTCTTATAGGACAAAAAAGCTGACTTGAAATTGGATAAAAAGGTTTTCACACATGGAGGTACAACATTTCATGGGGCTGAATTTCTTCCTGTTTAGAAGTAGCCTATAAGGTAGTGGGCAAAACGTATGTTCCTGTGGAGAAGCAAAAAAGTGAATTCACAGCAAGATCTCAGGACTCTTCTGTGCTGCCAGTCCTGACTGTTTTCTCAGAGATGGCAAAAAGGTTTACTTTTACTGCAGTAGATAACCTATGACATGACTAGTAGGAGATATTACTCCTGATGTTTGACTGCTTGCAGTTTTGATGTGGATTTTGCTGCTGCAGGCACAGGCTTTAGGTTCTTGCAGAGATGGGACAAAGACATCCTAGAAAAAAAGGAGCAGTAGAGGAATGGGAATAATAGAAAGCTAGAGAAGGAGTAAAGGGGAATATATTAACAACAGATGTTAGTAAATAGGGACTGCTGTGTTCATTATGATATGTGAAGAGACTGCTGTGTTTATACCTAATTCTACTATGAAATCAGACATTCTTTGTGTAGCTGTCTGTGCTAGTCATTCTACAAGCTGACTGGTAGGCAAGCTCCTATCAGTGGAAACTAGAATTCAAACAGTCCCAAATGATGGGAAGGGGAAGGATATGCTTACATTTTATATTAGAAACTTTAGACTTGAATGTGGACTAGCATCTTTAGAAGTGTGTCAAGGGAACTGAAAAAGGCAAGTGAGAAGTATCTATAAGTAATTAAGAGTTGTAACCCGTTTAAACTGATCCCAAATCTGAACCCTAAAATTGAATCCCATTCTTACAGTGTGCATCTTTGATATCATTAAGTGACTAATGCTTAACAGTGCAGAAAGTTCACTGCTGAAAGAAAATACACATGGCTGTGGATTGCAGCATGGCAAGATGGAAGTACTTTTGCTTGAAAAATACTGGACAAGTGAAGGCTGTTAAAACTGAAGTGTTGTTAAATATCACTTTAACCTAGTGAATGAGTGTATTGTATATGTTTCCATTATGATATTAACTTTGTCACGTGTTGTCTGTCTCTTAAGAACCCTTTTATGGATAGATCTTAAATTGTCATATAAATTATTCACTAACTCTGGTAAGCAGCTAAGCACCACTTGCTGCTTGTTCGCTTAACTCCACCTCCACAGTGGAGGCTAGGGGGATTAATCTGAGAGGAGGGAACTTGTTGAAATAGTGTTGAAGTAAAGACAGCTTTAAAGATGAAGTGCAACTGCGTCCACAAACAAAGCAAAATAAGGAATTCAGTTGCAACAACCTACCAGAGGCAGATGTTGAGCCATTTGCAGAGAAGCAAGGATTAATTACACATGATGAAAAGATGACAATGCCAGTGAAATCTAAATGTCCCCCCACTTTCTCCTTCTTTCTCCCAGCTTTTATTGCTGACTCTGTCATGTGGTTTGGGAGATTCCTCTGATCAGTTGGGATTCACTGTCTCAGCCATATCCTTTACCAGGCTCTCGCCCACCCTCAGCTTCCTGACTGGCAGGACAGCATGACAAACACAGACTTGACTGTGTAAGTACTGCTCAACAATAGGTAAAACACTGGTGTGTTGTTACCAATACTGTTCTAGGTCCAAATGCAAATCACAGCACTGTGTGGGTTTCTATGAAAGAAATAAGCTCTACCGTAGTCTAAAATCAGTACTTGATACTGTAAAATATTTGTACCCTCAAACATTCCTCAATAAGATTCTCCTAAAAATCAAAGGCCTAACAAACTTCAGTGACTTCCAGGATCCTTAAATAATCTTTCTCATCTTTTTGTATTTTGTATGGGAATGAAGGTTGTCATCTTGTGTTGTGTTGGCCATCTTGCATGGACAAAAAGTAACAGTTTGAAGGATTTTGCTAAAATATTCTTTAACTATGAAAAGGCTACTCATCTGGTCTTCCCCAGCTATCCTTTTTTATAGCTTTCTCTTCTGCTTTGACTATTTGGATTTTAGGTTTCTCTTCTCAGTGAGAAACAGTACATAACTGTAGGCTTCACCTTGGAATATCTTCTTCCAGCTGATATTTTAAAATGTCATTACTTATCACTTCAATGTATTGCAAGAAAATTGAGTTTTCCTTTGAGGCACAGGATGTTTCTGATTATGGTTAGTGATTAAACTGTCATTGTTAGTTCATCTGATGGTGCCTGTGTTCTTTGTACAGCTGAGTCACAGCATCTGAGATCCCCATAGGTGATCTAACAGGTTTTAAAATGCTTTTGTAAAAACCTCTAACACATCCATGGTGATGAAGAAGTGATATCTGCAGATCCATTCCTGAGCATTCTTCAAGTCTAGTCGTACAACCGCCTACACACAAATGTAAGCAGAATCTGTGTGCATGCTTCGGTCTGGTTTGATGCATGCAACCTTCTGTCTAGGGCTGCATAAACAATATATTGTGCTAGGGTACTCATTCCCTTAGGAAAGCAAACTGTTATTTCCATTCTCAACGGCAAATTACCTTCAGTTTCCACAGTTCTGCCTGTACTACAATTGTGTTAGGCATCATACTCTATTTGATTGTCTGCTGAAGCAATACAGTGCATCTTCCATCTTGTTTACCTTATTACTGATATGAGATAACCTTTTTCATTCTGCTTGCATGAATTTGCTTTGGGTTGGGTTTTTTTCCTACCTTTTTAGGAGACTTGAAAACAGTCTGTGGGTATCCTTGGTAGCTTGTTTTTATTTCAGAGTTGTCTGAACAAGCCTGTGTTGCTAGACCTTAT